ATAATGGAACATGGGGAAAAAAATCAATCTAATTAAATATTTTGTTTGAACACACTATTGTTAATCATATTAAATACAGTACGATACATGTATTGAATGAAATTTATTATTTCCATTATCAACCCGACAGACCAGTGTAAGAGTGTAGAGTGGCCACAGGACGCGTCATCAGCCTACGTCAGCAGCCTACGTCAGCAGCCGCGGACTGCTATGAAAACATTAGCTTTGTGGTTTCACAGGAGCAGTTGACTGCTTAAACTAAACTTTGCAAAAAACTTTGACTCTTAAAACCCACATGTGACAAAACGGAACCATCAACATCTCGCCTCAAATTGCATTAAAAGTGACATTCGTGTCTTAATTCGTTCGTATTTCAACTTTTAAAGCAATTCACGGTCCGCCATCTTGGTATGCTTCGGTTGCCGTGAGACGCGCATGCGCAGGTTTGCATTACATTATTAACAGCTGAGCATTACATAAGCGTCACTTTTTGGCAGAGCGGCACAACTCGGCAGAACACCGGCAAAAAATTTAATATTTTGGTGTTTATTTTTATTGGATTAAAAAAATGCCAGAACAGCGCACCCTACAAAAGTCAGTTTACATTGGGAGAGGGTCCGAGGTCAAGTTAGAGCCACTTTTAGAAATGAAAAAAAAAATGTTATAATAGCCACTCCCCCAGACAAACAGGAAGCCCATAAATGTCACTGAAAAATGGAAAATGATCCTTTTCACACATGTTGGTTGGAAAGCAGCGACTCAAAATCACTCCACATCGTCTAAACACATGTACCATCATTTTGATTTCGTGAAATTTTGATCATTGAAACATTGAGCAGCAGAGCTCTAAATGTGACTTTTTCCCCCATTTTTGACAATAGAAAATGTGCTCCCGTTTGCACACATAAAGTCTGATTTGCACAAAAGTTGGGGCCCTCCTACCCCCACATCTCCACAATTTACATGTCCAAACGTGACATGTAAATTTCTCCTGTGTGAGATTAATAAAGTACATCTTATCTTAACGTTTTGTGCAAATCCAGGGTGTCGGTCATTTGAAAGTGAAAACATTGAAATTGGCTCATTAGCGCCCACTACAGACTATGTCAAAGTTTTACATGGGAGGAATCCCTTTATTTTTTTGAATTTTAAAAATGTTGCTCATAATTCTGTTTTGCCCTCTTGATTCAAAAAGTCAGAGACCCAATGCTTATTTTTTACCTCTACGACCAAACGCTCCCCATTCTATGTCAATGGCAAATGTACACATCACACGACCATTGTTCTCTTCCTCTATCGCCGATGCGGCAGCCTGTAGCTGTGGTCGCAAGGTCTCTGGTGCTGGTCCCGGCGGCAACCCCCAAACCCGGTGGTGGACACCGGCAGTAAGGGATGCCGTCAGGCTGAAGGAGTCCTATCGAGCCATGATGGTTCGTGGGTCTCCTGAGGCAGCTGTCCAGTACCGGCAGGCCAAGCGTTCCGTGGCCCGGGCTGTTGCAGAGGCAAAAACCTGGACTGGAAGGAGTTCGGAGAGTCCATGGAGCATGACTGTCGGTCGGCCTCGAAGAGATTCTGGCAAACCGTCCGGTGCCTCAGGAGGGGGAAGCAGTTCTTTGCCAACACCGTGTACGATGCGGGTGGAGGGCTGCTGACCTCGACTGGGGATATTATCGGGCGGTGGAAGGAATACTTCGAGGTTCTCCTCAATCCCCCCGTCACGTTCTCCGTCCCGGAGGCAGAGGATGAGGATGTTGGGACGGATACTTCCATCTCCCTGGCCGAGGTCACCAAGGTGGTTGGCAGCCTCCATGGTGGCAAGGCTCCGGGAGTGGATGAGATCCGTCCTGATTATCTAAAGTCTCTGGATGTTGTCCCTGGCCGCGGAACACTGAAGGAGTTAAAGAATTTCGGGGTCTTGTTCACGAGTGAGGGAAGGATGGAGCGTGAGATTGACAGGCGGGTCGGTGCAGTGTGCGCAGTGATGCGGTCGCTGCATCAAACCGTTGTGGTAAAGAGGGAGTTGAGCTGAAAGGCAAAGCTCTCGATTTACCGGTCAATCTTCGTTCCCTCCCTCACCTATGGTCATGAGCTTTGGGTAATGACCGAAAGAACGAGATCGTGGATACAAGCGGTCAAAATGAGCTTCCTCCGCAGAGTGGCTGCTCCCTTAGAGATAGGGTGAGGAGCTCAGTCACACGGGAGGAGCTCGGAGTAGAGCCGGTGCTTCTCCAAGTTGAGAGGAACCAGTTGAGGTGGCTCGGGCATCTGTTCCGGATGCCTCCTGGACGCCTCCCTGGGGAGGTGTTCCGGGCACGTCCCACCGGGAGGAGGCCCCGGGGAAGACCTAGGACACGCTGGAGAGACTATGTCTCTCAGCTGGCCTGGGAACGCCTTGGGGTCCCCCCGGACAAGCTGGAGGAAGTGTGTGTGGATAGGGAAGTCTGGGCGTCTCTGCTTAGACTGCTGCCCCCGCGACCCTGCAACGGATGAATCGGAAGAAAATGGATGGATGGATGGGTTGTTCTATGGCTAAGGGACCCCCTCCTTTGCGTGGTGCGGAGACGCCGTAGGACGCCGCTTGTGGCTTTATTTACTTATTGCTGTTTGTGTTCAGGTCTGTATTTATCTGACCAGTCATCCAGCTCCCTGTCTCCACTGCCTTATCTTTTTGTATTTTATTGTGTACAGTGAATTACGGCTGGGCAATAAATCGAATTTAGGCAATTAATCGGCTTTTGAAAAAATCGAATTTGTGAAAAATGTGAAAATCATGAATTCGAATAAAGGATATTGGCCCTCCTTTATGAAAGTTGCGCAGAAAAGGGTGTATATTTTTGATGATATTCCATTTATGCCAGACTCAACGCGGGATTTATGAACCCAAAGTTCAACTCATGTGTCCCCCAGGAAAATGTAGTTGGAGACCCCTGCGCTGGGTGGAGCAGGGCAGGTCACAGCAGCAGAGGTGGAACAGCGGCTCTATGATGAGCTCTTTCCTATCCTCTCTGCTCTGGTCTAGCCTGGTCGTACCACACCTTAGTACAAATTACATTTCATACTAAGGTCTGGATTTGCTCCATTGAGCTCCGTGAACAGGTGGGAGGGGTTAACTCTTTTTGCAGATTGAAACGATTGGATCTGAGAAGGGCGGCACGGTGGCTGAGTGGATAGCACTCTCGCCTCTCAGCAAGAAGGTCCTGGGTTCGAATCCCGGTCGGACCAGGGCCTTTCTGAGTGGAGTTTGCATGTTTTCCACGTGTGTGCGTAGGTTTCCTCCGGCTGCTCCGATTTCCCCTACCACTAAAAATATGTACAATAGTTCTGGCATGTGCCTCCTGTACTGGCCCCTCCCATCTCTGTGTGGAGTGAGAGACTAAGGCCCAAAAATAACAATTGTAAACCGCTTTTTGACTCTGGTCTGTGAAAGGCGGTATATAAAGAAAGATTACTTACTTACTTACTTACTGTCACGTATGTAGTGCGCCCGAGTCTGTTGTTAGCATTTAGCCTAGCCATCTCCTTTGCTACTAACGGAGCCCGTGGGGAGTAGCGCCACAATCTTGACCAGCGATTACATTTGCTAAACATTCCTGTTGCTCCTGCTTCAATTTCTTGATAGAACCAGACCGGATTACTTTACTATCGCATTCTTCGCCACTGCCAAACTACAACCTGCCCGTTCGGCGCAAACTCTTGACGTCACCGGCACAGACCTACAACACCCGCCTTCCGCGCTCTCTGAGTAGCCGGTTGAAATACGACCGATTGTATTCGCTAACACAGGGACCAGACCCAGACGCTACATGCAGTGAGATGATGATTGAGCAGAGTGTACGGATGGATAAGACCAGGCTAGCTCTGGTCTGGATACGTGTAAAAACCATGAACACTTTAAAGCAAGAAAATAGCGTCTGTAAAGCACACAACTACTGTTTCCAGAATATTCCAAAGTAAACCAGTTTACCACATGGTAATGGTCTCACAGAACATGCGAGAACATACAGTACATACGTCTAGTTCTGGGTGAAAACTGGAAAACCAACAAAATGGACTGGATACATGCTATTTTATGTCATGTTCTTTTATAGGAGATATAATTCAGGTCATCCATATACAATATATTTTAATTAACAAGTTTCACAGTTGTTTTCATCAGTGAATAGATTAGAGAAATTGTTACAAAAGTGGTTAAAGCTCACACAAAACATCCGACTAACATAACATACTGCTCGGTTTAGAATATTCCTCCATAAAGGATCTCCCAAGACAATCAGCAGAAGAGCCTACGGTCAAACATCTCATTTAGATAAATATTTGAATTATTTAACACATTGCATGCAGCAGTCGATTTCACTAAATCCTGTTGTATACTCTAAGGCTATTGATTTAAACTATATCCCATAATAATCACTGATCAGCATTCAGAGATGATTTGTCTTTACAAGATTAGATTGTACATAATTAGAGGATGGATTATATTTGGTGGGTCTAGGGCTGCACGAGTGTGAATTTGTTTTGCTTCAAACCGTTGTTATTCATGTTATTCACCACAAAACAGTGTCTACATAAGTTTAAACTACCAGACTGACACATATTATCTTCATTTGAACAGAATGTCGTGTAAAGAGTGTGACTTTTGATTTAAATTAGGAAAATCTACTAGTCTTTGCACAATAAGATAAAGAATTAACATTTATATCCATATTCTTCTGCGTTTCCCGGAGCCATGGAGGCGGCAGTCCAAACAGTTGTCCTGAGTCTCACATGGAAGATACTTTTACTTCACTTTATCTACTCAAAAATGGGAAATATGCTTTCACTTATTTCCTTATTTTTAAAACACAATATAATATTTGCATAATTTTCTTTTATTGTAAAATTGAAGATACTGAGAAGTGTGTTAATTCCCAGGTTTGTTCTATATAATGAGTTGTTGCCAGTCTAATTGCATGATGTATGCGACGACCCCTGCAGCCCTAGGTAAGAGTGTGGCGCCCCCTTCAGGTGGATGTGCACGTGGGGGGCTTGGAGTAGGCGCTCTGACTCAGATTGTTCTTTGCTGCCACCTGGAGGCAGTACTGCGTGTTGCGCCTGAGGCCGTTCACGGACAGCTCTGTCTGGGGGGCGTAGACGTTGTGGGTCCGAGGCTGGCCGTTATGCCTCGTCACCATGACGACGTACTCTGCAGCTCTGTCCACAGGGGTCCATGTGACCGTGAGCGAGGTGTTGTGCAGGCTTGTGCTGACCACCGTGGGACTGGATAATTCTGCAGGGAGAGCACATTATGTTCTGTAAATTTGGCATCTCACAAAGTATCTAAAACAACTTCAAGGAGGCTTATTTGACATTACATTCTATTGCAAAATAATAAAGGAGAAGCTTTTATTATTGCACTGCTATCGTCTGAGAGCAGTGGAGGAGGAGCTTCAATATGACCGTTTTTTTATTTTTTAGAAAAGTGGCCGATTAAATTGAGAAAAATGACCAGAAGCAATAATATTGTGGATTGATCTAAAATGACCGAAGGAACATGTTTAAACATGTACATAAATACATAAAATACATTCTGTTTTCTTAACACATAAAATACATTCTGTTTTCTTAACACGAGTATAATGAAAAATAGATGAAGTAAACTTACTTTGGTCTGTGTTAATGTCCATGTCAAACAGGGCTCTTCTCCTGCGTGCTTGAACTGTGGATCAGAGTCACCGTCAGTGAAACATTACACTATGTTGACATCTTACATGCTGACATTTGGAATGACAAATAATATTGACCAGCGATTGAAGCTGATTCCTAATCCTTGGTTTGGTTCCACTGCAGTGGGTCAAAGCAGAGACAGTGCAGTGGGTGGCACATAAGACTTCTAACGCTAACACACTGCCCTTTGTTTATCCATGAGTAATCCATGTTTAGGTGAGTGAGTGAGTGTGAGGAGCCTGACCTGTGGGGGCAGCTGGCAGACTTCTCCCAGCTGAGTTGCTTGCAGTCAGTCTGATGTCAGCAGGATCTGCAGTGGCAATGCAGGAGAGTAAAGCGGTCTCACACAGTCCAACCCCGTCCACCGTGGATGCGCTGTAGTAGTCAGCCAGCACAGAGGCGTCCCAGGACAGCTCTGAGGTGAGTTGGTTGTAGACCACATTTGTAGGGGTGGCCGGGACTGCGGGGGAGGGGACAGACACATGTTTGTATCAATATATATTCACATACTTGGCCAGTATGAACAGCTTTTCCAAAGCTTGAGTTTTGACAGCAACATCACACACTGTCGGAGTACAGCGCAGGGCACTTCCATGTCAAGTTGTTCTGGTAAAAATATGTTGAACGATCTTTGTTTTTCTCAATATGGATTATAAACTTGCTGTAGTCCTTGATATTATTCCTTCTGGTCAAGGGTGCGCTGTGCCGTCTTTAGAAAACTTATTTTGAAAGTCAGAAGTTAGTTTTGACTTTTATTTTGACCCCTTCCCGTCACAAGCCTGCTTAACTGCAGTTGCTTCTGTTGTTTTTCAGTGAGGAGCTCTGACTGTGGCTCATTATTATATATTTACTATAGAGATATTTATGTTTTTAAAACAATGTGATAAAAGAGAGGAGTTGGTGCACTTCTATATTGAGTCCTTTATTCAACATCACCAAAAAACATTAGCGATCCATTTTTCCCTCCTTTGATATAAGTATATGACATTAGCGTGATTGGAGCTTCACTCTCCTTTGAGCGTTTAATATGCCCGCTCAAAGGAGAGTGAAGATTAAGACATTTTTGTAATGAATAAATTATACAAAATAATTACAAGCGTACCTGTGCTTCCAGTCTTGGTGTAGCTGGGATCGCTGACTCCCGCCGCGTTGCGTGCATACACGTTGATCTTGTAGGTAGAGCTGTCGGGCACGGGCGTCTCGTAGTAGGGCCGCTCATGCCAGTACGAGGTCATGTGCATCTGGGTCTGGACATCGTCGTTGATGTGCCCCACGATGATCACCTGGTACTCCACTGGCTGACAGGAGACGGGCTCCCAGGAGATCATGGCCCAGAAGCGACCCTCCATCAGCTGCATGCGCACCATGATGCCCTCTGGGGCGCAGGGGACTGTGGGAGGAGAGCACGCCCAGGTGAGGGTTGGCTTTACAAAGTGACTGTAGTTTTATTAATGACAGTTTGGAAAATGTAGATTATCCAACTCTGAACATGCTGTCTTCATCTTAATAGAAAACATCTCATTTTTGTAAACTTGTAAGAAAGAGCACTCTGAGTCACTTTTTGACTATTTGGGTTGAGACTGAGGGTGGTCCTCTATATATGATTTATATAGAGAGGTCTCTCTCTCTCTCTATTTATATATATATATATATATATATATATATATATATATATATATATATATATATATATATATATATATATATATATATATATATATATATATAGGATAAGAAAATATATTCATATAATCCTAAATATAGGTGTAAACTGGTGGTTGAAAATGTTCATTTACCTGCTCCTGCTACTATCGGGGTCCCAAAGGAGCTGTTGCAAACATTATCGGAGGCCTCCACAATAAAGGAGTAGTTGTGTCCGCAGACGAGATCCGAGATGGTGCAGGACAGCCCTGTGCTGGAGCAGTATTGGGGAGTGTCTTGTCCAGTCTGAGCACTGACAAAGTAGCGCGCAGCACCTTCGCTGGAGTCCCAGGAGAGGGCAGCAGAGAGGCTTTCACAGTCATAGGCCAGTGTGAGGCCGGATGGAGGGCATGGGCCTGGAACACAGTGTCATTATGGGAACAGAGTTCATACAAAAGAATGCTCTATCTGGATGTGTTAACGTAAAGTACAACTTTATAATAAGAATTGATGCTTTTGAACTGATTATTTGCACGGACAAAAATATAATTCTCAAAATTAAAATATTTTAGTTTTAGAAATGCAAGCTGCTTGTACCAGAGGTGTAGGTCACCGTTGTCCCAGGGCTGGTGCAGTTCTGCGTCAGAGCGTAGACGACCACCTGGAAGTCCGCTCCACACGGCAGTGCGCTCAGGGTGCAGTTACCGAAGCTGGTGTTGCAGGTGTCACTGAAGTCCTCTCCGGTCACCTCCACTCTGTAGTCACTGGCCACATGGGACAGGTCCCAGGACACGGCCAATCCACCAGCGCCGCACACCTGCACCGCTGTCACATTCTGAGGAGCGCAAGGAGCTGTGGAGGAGAGGCACTCGGTCATCATTCAATAATGGCTATAAATATAATACTTTGCTCTACATAAAATAACATCACTTTCTGAACAAAATGTCCTGGAATATTAGACAAGCAGAAAAAAACTGCCATATATTGTATATTGTATAATTCTTATAACATTTGGACATTATCGCTGTACAAGCTCAAAACCCTATTTTTAATTTCATTGTTTTATTGATATGGAAATTTGAATATATTCGAGGATAATTATTTTGATAAGATAAGAGTTCCTTTATTCGTCCCACAGTGGGGAAGTTTCACAAGGACCAATAAAGTATTAACCCTGAATGTAAAAATAAAAAACACTTTCCCCGCTGGCTGCACTGCAGCAGTCAGATGAAAACACTTAAACAGCCAAAGCAGGAGCTAAAGCAGGATTGCTGGTTAAGCACTTAATGCATGCTTATTATTCATCACACATATTAAAACAAATATTGATCATATCTGTGAGTTTGGTGACCACGCCTCTTTTAGAAAAAGAGCTATTGAAGATTGATATTCATATTCAATCATAAAAATGCTGAAAACAAAGGTAGTCGTAGTTACATCTGGTTGTTATTTATGTATGTTACAACATATTTATTCATTTAAAGTATACAAAAACCCACCAATGTTGAAATCAAAGTTTGTAGTAGTTAGATATGGTCAAAATATTTTTAGTCTCAGAGTTTTGTGCGTGTACGTAGCATCACATAAAAGCTATTGTCCGTTTAAAAATCCGGTCTTGACACTTGTTGACGCTCCCTAAGTGCTTTTCTCTGCACTTGCAGGGCGTTGGATCCAATGGATTTATCTGAATTAAAATAGTGAGTTATTGACCCTGGAAGTCCGAATCTGGAAATGTGACGCTAACTTTACAGAACTTCTGCCGTGATGATGCTGCGGGCCACGCCGGCGCTCGTCAACATTAAGCCCATGGATGTGATCAAGCCTACGCCCCTTTGACACTGATTGGCCAAAAGGTAGACCTTACACTGTGATTACTCTGTGTGTGTGTGTGTGTGTGTGTGTGTTACACAGTGAGTGAGTGATGCATTTAAAGCAACTCTGAAAATACGGGACAAAAGATGGGAACAAATAAACACCATAGCAATGGAGATACTCAGATAGGGACACTCAGGAGTAAGAATGTATTAGGCGCTGCGCTCATGGACCACTGGATTTATTGCATGAAAATGTCAAAAAGGACATCTGCTCCAAATATTGTTAGTGAAGCTGGTGTAACTGCTGAGCATCGAGACCCTATTCTAGCCATGTTTGCCCTTTGACCGCAGGGGGGGACCATACTACTGCCCTCGGGTGGGGGACAAGTCTCTCACTGTTGTTGTGCCTACGGGCCTAACAGCAGTGCAGAGTACTCGGCCTTCTTAGAGTCCTTGGGAGGGGTACTGGACAATGCACCAGCCAGGTACTCGTGTGTGTATTGTGGGATCACACTCCTCAGCCTCCCCGGTAAGGTCTACTCCAAGGTACTGGAGAAGAAACTTCGACCGATGGAGCAGTGTGGTTTTCGTCCCGGCCGCGGAACACTGGACCAGCTCTACACTGGACCAGCTCTACACGCTCCATCGGACACTTGAGGGATCATGGGAGTTCACCCCACCCTGTCCACATGTGCTTTGGAGATTTGGAGAAATGAGCTTCCTCCGCAGAGTGGCTGCTCCCTTAGACGTAGGGTGAGGTGGCTCGGGCATCTGTTCCGGATGCCTCCTGGACGCATCTGTAGGGAGGTGTTCCGTCATGTCCCACCGGGAGGAGACCCTGGGGAAGACCCAGGACACGCTGAGAGACTGGCCTTGGGGTCCCCCCGGACGAGCTGGAGTAAATGTGTGTGGATAGGAAAGTCTGGGTGTCTGGGTTGCGGAAGGGTTAGGGTTTGGGTAGAAATTTTAAGGGAAGAAAATGGGCCTGGGAACTATCTAAACAATTTGAGCTCCCAAGCTCTGCAGTGATGTCATTGAAACTCTTGAAAACTGCAGAATCTTGAGAATTTTTAGAATGTGTTTTCATGTTTAGAAAGAGGAAAATATGCATTCATATTCTCCCCTTTAATTAATGACTTATCCTTCAGATCTATTTTCCTTAAAAAAATGAAAAAGATTGATGTAAAACAGAGGGATGTGACCCCACAGTTACCGGAAAATCAGATTTAGGGATTTAGGGATAAAGCAAAATCCCTTGGAGTAAAACATGAAGTCACTAAGTGTCCAAACTGGTGATTCTTCACAGAATGTTTGATTTGCCAGAAAAATAGGGATATTTATTTTTATATTTTGACGTTTATTTTTTATCATTTGGCTGGCAGTTACATCAGCATAGAGCTAAAAACAACCACAGGTGGGATAATATAAAATAATATTGACTTAAAAGGTTCTACATGTGGGAGTCAGCCTTTTGTCCTGATGTCCTGATCAGATGAGAGCTGAGAGTGGGGCGTACCAGTGTGGACCTTGGTGGGTGGGCTGCGGCGGCTGCTGCACTTGTCAGAGCTGGTGGACACGATGACGCTGTACTGCATGCCACACTTGGCGTCTTGGAGCTGGCAGGAGTCTGTGGTGCTGTTGCAGAGGATGAGGCTCATGTCGTGGCCCTCGGCAGTGACCACGTACACGGGCGTGTTTTCAGACATCTGCCACTGCACCGTGATGACGCTGCTGTCGCACTGGGTCAGTGCATCGATCGAGGTGAGAGCGCACGGGGCTGCGGAGAACATAAGCATTACTGTCACTGGTTTATCAATTATTTATGTTATTTCTCTATTTAGTACGACGAAGCAAAAGGTTTTTTGTTTTCGTCTTATAATTAAGTCAGAATCTTTTTACTTTAAAGTCGAAGTAACAAATCCCCAAATATTATAAGATTAATCTTGAAATATTATGAGATTATTTTTGAAATATTTTTAGATAAAAGTCAGAATAATTCACCATCTGTTTGTAATAGAGACAATTGACCTCACTCTTACCCGGCTCCTGGCACGATGAAGAGCACAGACTAGCACGAGCACTGGGAGAGACCAGTGTGGCCCCTGGAGAGACCAGTGTGGCCCCTGGAGAGACCAGTGTGGCCCCTGGAGAGACCAGTGTGGCCCCTGGAGAGACCAGTGTGGCCCCTGGAGAGACTAGTGTGGCCCCTGGAGAGACCAGTGTGGCCCCTGGAGAGACCAGTGTGGCCCCTGGAGAGACCAGTGTGGCCCCTGGAGAGACCAGTGTGGCCCCTGGAGAGATCAGTGTGGCCCCTGGAGAGACCAGTGTGGCCCCTGGAGAGACCAGTGTGGCCCCTGGAGAGACCAGTGTGGCCCCTGGAGAGACCAGTGTGGCCCCTGGAGAGATCAGTGTGGCCCCTGGAGAGACCAGTGTGGCCCCTGGAGAGATCAGTGTGGCCCCTGGAGAGATCAGTGTGGCCCCTGGAGAGATCAGTGTGGCCCCTGGAGAGACCAGCACAGACCTCGGGGAGAGCAGGTGAAGGAGCTCTGCTCTTTTTAGACTGACTTTTAACATTTTCAGCCAATTGCCTTTCATTCCATTGTTATTCGTTTTTTTTAATCAAAAACATATATTTTCTTTTTTCCTTTTTATTGGTCACACCCCCTCAATGGACACTTTTAAACATGTGACAAAAGTCTGATGATATTGATAGATTGATGATATGTAACACCAGCAGTGTCAGAGGTCAGAGTTCATAGAGCCTCTCACTATATTTATCCATTGAGTTTAAATACAGTGTTTATGAACTCTGAACGGGGAAGCGCTTGTGCATTTGTGATTATGTCATTGTTATTTTGATATTAAAGTGAAAAGAAAACAACTTAAAACTCGTAGTACGAGAATATGTTAAATACAATTGATTTAAAGGAGCTGTACCCGTTTCTGCAAGGTTTTTTTTTTCAGTTTGAATGTTTAGCCCCGCCCCCAACTCGCTCACAGGCTTCTCATTTCCCTACGCCCTCATCACACGGAGCCATCTACTGCTCAAGTGGTGCAAGTAAAAGAGCTGCGATCTTGATACGAGAGCACATAGTTTATAACAAATAACACCAGTGTGAGAAGAAGAAGGTCCTCTCTCCGTCCCACAGTGGGACCAACACACACATACACTTCAAGGCATGCAGTGAACATTACTTCCACGTTCATTATAGGTAAAGCATGTAAACAGCAGACATGAGTGGAGTCGGTGGAGAAGGTCTCGTGGTGGGCTCGAACCCATGACTTTCAGGCTCAAAGGCCAATGCTCTACAAACTGAGCCACTGTTGTCCCTGATTCATTCAGATGAAGAGTATATGAAAGTATTTTGAGATCAGTCTCATAATATTGCTACTTCCACTTTATTCTCATAATCTTTCGACTGTAAAGTAAAAATATTCTTCCTTTGATCTCATCTGCCCATTATGGACCAATATCAATGTATTTTCTATTTTTTTTACTTGTGTTTGACCTGTTCCATTCTGCGGAATTTAACGATTGTGTAAAGTCCCCCGAGATAACAACTGTTGTCATTTAAGGCTATACAGGAATACAGGAGCACTTTGGAGGCTGGGTGTGAAGCTGGCACCTGTCTCGAGCTGGAAGCTGGCCGCGGGCCGGCTGGAGCAGTACTGGTTCTGGGCCGTGAGCTTTATGTTGTACAGCGTGCCACAGAGAAGGTCTGGGGCGCTGCACGGGGAAGTGGTCGAGGAGCAGGACGAGTTGTGTTCTGTTCCCACGGCTTGAGCCAACACTGAGTACACGGTGGCTCCCTCTGACTCAGTCCATGAGATCCAGGCAGAGTTGGTCACACAGTCCAGGTTCCCTCGGATGTCTGTGGGGACGCAAGGGGCTGCGGGGGACAAAACATTTTCAAATTAGGGCTCGAGGATATGTCCTTTAACATTATTAAAATCATAAAAGCACATGCAGCTCTTACACTGATATCAACATGCCTGGAATGAATATTGAGATATGACATTTGACACAAAGCTGGGGAAACTAACTTTTAGATCACAAAAACAAGAACTATGGGAACTTCTCATGTGCATGATTCTCTGCATCAGACTAGTTCCAGTTTTGTTCTATCACTAGTATTTGTTTTTGATGAGGACAACTTCATCCTCTTTGAGTTAATTAGTGAATCACAGGCAGTGTTGTCAGACCAGAGTGATCTGATACTGAGACCAGAGTGACACTGAGAGTGAGACCAGAGTGATCTGATACTGAGACCAGAGTGACACTGAGAGTGAGACCAGAGTGATCTGATACTGAGACCAGAGTGACACTGAGAGTGAGACCAGAGTGATCTGATACTGAGACCAGAGTGACACTGAGAGTGAGACCAGAGTGATCTGATACTGAGACCAGAGTGACACTGAGAGTGAGACCAGAGTGATCTGATACTGAGACCAGAGTGACACTGAGAGTGAGACCAGAGTGATCTGATACTGAGACCAGAGTGACACTGAGAGTGAGACCAGAGTGATCTGATACTGAGACCAGAGTGACACTGAGAGTGAGACCAGAGTGATCTGATACTGAGACCAGAGTGACACTGAGAGTGAGACCAGAGTGATCTGATACTGAGACCAGAGTGACACTGAGAGTGAGACCAGAGTGATCTGATACTGAGACCAGAGTGACACTAAGAGTGAGACCAGAGTGACACTGAGAGTGAGACCAGAGTGATACTGAGGGTGAGACCAGAGTGATACTGAGAGTGAGACCAGAGTGATACTGAGAGTGAGACCAGAGTGATACCAGAGTGAGACCAGAGTGATACTGAGAGTGAGACCAGAGTGATCTGATACTGAGACCAGAGTGACACTGAGAGTGAGACCAGAGTGACACTGAGAGTGAGACCAGAGTGATACTGAGGGTGAGACCAGAGTGATACTGAGAGTGAGACCAGAGTGATACTGAGAGTGAGACCAGAGTGATACTGAGAGTGAGACCAGAGTGATACCAGAGTGAGACCAGAGTGACACTGAGAGTGAGACCAGAGTGATACTGAGAGTGAGACCAGAGTGATACCAGAGTGAGACCAGAGTGATACTGAGAGTGAGACCAGAGTGATACTGAGAGTGAGACCAGAGTGATACTGAGGGTGAGACCAGAGTGATACTGAGAGTGAGACCAGAGTGATACTGAGAGTGAGACCAGAGTGATACCAGAGTGAGACCAGAGTGACACTGAGAGTGAGACCAGAGTGATCTGATACTGAGACCAGAGTGACACTGAGAGTGAGACCAGAGTGACACTGAGAGTGAGACCAGAGTGATACTGAGGGTGAGACCAGAGTGATACTGAGAGTGAGACCAGAGTGATACTGAGAGTGAGACCAGAGTGATACCAGAGTGAGACCAGAGTGATACTGAGAGTGAGACAAGAGTGATACTGAGAGTGAGACCAGAGTGATACTGAGAGTGAGACAAGAGTGATACTGAGAGTGAGACCAGAGTGATACTGAGAGTGAGACAAGAGTGATACCAGAGTGAGACCAGAGTGATACCAGAGTGAGACCAGAGTGATACTGAGAGTGAGACAAGAGTAATACTGAGAGTGAGACCAGAGTGATACCAGAGTGAGACCAGAGTGATACTGAGAGTGAGACAAGAGTGATACTGAGAGTGAGACCAGAGTGATACCAGAGTGAGACCAGAGTGATACTGAGAGTGAGACAAGAGTGATACTGAGAGTGAGACCAGAGTGATACTGAGAGTGAGACAAGAGTGATACTGAGAGTGAGACCAGAGTGATACTGAGAGTGAGACAAGAGTGATACTGAGAGTGAGACCAGAGTGATACCAGAGTGAGACCAGAGTGATACTGAGAGTGAGACAAGAGTGATACTGAGAGTGAGACAAGAGTGATACTGAGAGTGAGACCAGAGTGATACTGAGAGTGAGACAAGAGTGATACTGAGAGTGAGACCAGAGTGATACTGAGAGTGAGACCAGAGTGATACTGAGAGTGAGACAAGAGTGATACTGAGAGTGAGACCAGAGTGATACCAGAGTGAGACCAGAGTGATACTGAGAGTGAGACAAGAGTGATACTGAGAGTGAGACAAGAGTGATACTGAGAGTGAGACCAGAGTGATACTGAGAGTGAGACCAGAGTGATACTGAGAGTGAGACAAGAGTGATACTGAGAGTGAGACCAGAGTGTTACTGAGAGTGAGACCAGAGTGAGACCAGAGTGATACTGAGAGTGAGACCAGAGTGAGACCAGAGTGATACTGAGAGTGAGACCAGAGTGAGACCAGAGTGATATCTATCTATCTTCACCTTTGCCTGGCCTGCCAAACGATATGCTTTTTCAAAGACAAATAGTCTGGGAACGAGCTTGAGCTCAGCGAATTCCCGGTGGGCGTGGTTGACAGACTGCATCAACCAATTAGATGCACACAGGATATGACGCAGCAACTAGCGGCACCCAAGCCGTTTCAGTAAACACAAAACAAGGGATGGCGGCATGTCAGCTAGTGCAAATGTAAACGACTGCTGTCGATTTTGTAACAAAAACTTAAAGATACGAGGAGTTATTAGCAACTCAAAGGTGAAAGGAAGTCCCGCCTCTCGGTGCGTGATTGGACCGATGTGGGTAAAATCGTGAAATGATAGGCTAGGAAGAGGTGTCCAGACGGTTCTTCTTTTGAACAGAAAGGAGGAGTGTCTGGCAGGCCAGGCAATCTTCACCTGAGCTGGTGGTCAGGGTGTTGCTGGCGGTGCTGGGGCAGTTGTTCCTGTGCGTGGTCACATTAATGCGGTAGGTCTGACCACAGGGCAGGCTGCTGAAGAGGCAGGACACAGCTGTGGTGTTACAGCTCAGTCTCTCTCCGCTGCTGCTGAGGCCGGCCACGGTGAAGTAGTCTGCGTCCGGGTTTGGAGTCCAGGACACAGTCATGGATTCAGCGGCACACTGCTCAGTCACCTGTACGTCCTCTGGAGGGCAAGGAGCTGGGGGCCACACAAGAAAATGTGGAATTAAATTATACTGATGACCCCAATGACTCGAATGAAAAAAAGTTATTAAAAAATGACATTTTATTAATTCTTTTGATACATTCAGGCTGAGCTGCGCCTGCTTGATCCCCCGGCAGAGACCCCAGCCCCCTACTGTCAAACGGCTCCATTGGTTAAAGCATGTCCTTGTGAATCATACAGTATTTGCTCTGTCATGTATTTTGTTGTGGCAAATCTTTAAATAAAAAAATGTAAAAAAAAATCTGAAAACTTCCTTCCTGTCTGTAATCCCAGTCCTACCGCCTTTAATCCCAGTGCTACCTGTGCGTCCGTCTGTAATCCCAGTCCTACCGTCTGTAATCCCAGTCCTACCGTCTGTAATCCCGGTACTACCTGTGCGTCCGTCTGTAATCACATTCCTACCTGTGCTTCCGTCTGTAATCCCAGTCCTACCTGTGCGTCCGTCTGTAATCCCAGTCCTACCGTCTGTAATCCCAGTCCTACCGTCTGTAATCCCAGTCCTACCGTCTGTAATCCCGGTACTACCTGTGCGTCCGTCTGTAATCCCATTCCTACCTGTGCCTCCGTCTGTAATCCCAGTCCTACCTGTGCGTCCGTCTGTAATCCCATTCCTACCTGTGCTTCCGTGTGTAATCCCAGTCCTACCTGTGCGTCTGTCTGTAATCCCAGTCCTACCTGTGCTTCCGTCTGTAATCCCAGTCCTACCGTCTAATCCTAGTCCTACCGTCTGTAATCCCAGTCCTACCGTCTGTAATCCCAGTCCTACCGTCTGTAATCCCAGTCCTACCGTCTGTAATCCCAGTCCTACCGTCTAATCCCAGTCCTACCATCTAATCCCAGTCCTACCGTCTGTCATCCCAGTCCTACCGTCTGTAATTCCAGTCCTACCGTCTGTAATCCCAGTCCTACCTGTGCGCACGGTGTCTGCCGCGCTCTCGCCGCTGGAGCAGGACCCATGTGAGGCGCGCACACTGACGCTGTAGAGGGTGCCGCACTGCAGGTCGCTCAGATCGCAGTACGTCTGGTTGTTGGTGCATGTGGAGGTGTGGCTGCCGTCTGCTGATACGGCCGTGGCTGTGTACGAGCTGGCCCCACTGGCCTGCTCCCACGTGACTGCACCGGTACGGGAGGCGCACAGAAACGACACACCGACGTTTGTCGGACTGCACGGGGCTGCGCACATACAAGCACATACAGCGCTGAGTTGGGAAAGATACAGGAAGTAATGCCGAGTTCTAGAAAGTATAAAATAGAAACACTTGTATATCTAATATCTGTTTGACATGTCAAAAGATATAATACTTAAAAAGGGGAAATGGAAATAACCAAAATCGGATGGAGTAGGGCTCATACCTTTTTGCTAAATAATAATGAAACAAATAAATGTTTCTTTTTAATAGACAAAATGATCTCATACGTTCATTGACCCTCTGCTCCTCTGCTCCTCTGCTCAAACCACCCTGATAATACTGTGTTAGGAGTAGTGTACTTAACCTGTGCAAGTGTGTGAGGACAGTTGAGTTGACGGAGACCTTTTATGCATGTTTATTATTCTCAATCTAGACCTGTATTATGTCTTTCTCCTGGCAACTTCATTTTCTCTCACGTTGTGCTGTTTGTTAAAAGCAGTAGTCTAAGGGTACCCAGTAACACACATACCTGAGTCCAGAGTGAGGTGGCTCTGGCTGTTATCGCAGGTACCATCGTTGGCAGTGACCGTGAGGTTGTAGGTCTGTCCACAGTGCATGTTGTCCAGCCGGCAGCTGGTTCCCTCGGTGATGCATGAGGGCGCGTGACCATCAGGGCCGTGGCCGTGGACAGAGTATGAGCTCACTCCATCGGCCTCCTCCCAGGACACCAGCCCAGTGTTGTTCTCACACACTATACTGGCCATGACACTCTGAGGATCACAGGGACCTGCCGGTGCACACGTCAATACGTTATCATCAGTGTTAGAGTGAGAGTTTGGCTTAGGGCAAGAACAATAGCTTTAAAAGGTTTTACTGACAGTACAGGGTTGTTACGTGATGACGTCACACATAAGAAAATAGTAAAAAAAAAAAAGATAGTTATAGGTTCAAAAATGTGCACATATTTGTGCTCAACACTGCAGAAAAGAGCTGTTTTAATGCACAAGTATGAACACAGTAGACGACTTTATTATGACAACTACAAAGTACAGCATAGAACAGATGCATGTATCTATCTAGACTTGACTTCTTCGTCTTGAATAAAGATTAGAAAATGGTCTTTTTCAAGGGGAGTAAATTCTGGTTTATTCTAAATCAGCTTTCAAATTGTGGATGAAAGAAAGGTTGTTCGTCACTACTATGTGGCTATTTCTATACTTTTTGTATAATCTTTATAGTTTTATAATTGTTCTGTTTTATGTGGATGGACAGATCATCAATTCTATTCATTTAAATTCAATACATTTTCTATAGACCTTTTTCGCAACATTTTTCTCGTAATCTGGCATATTTACACAGTATCGCAAATTAAGATGCATGATTAAGATCATGCTAAAGGAATACTAAAATAACATTGTGACTTAATGTTTCTCTTTTTCCTAATTTAAGTAAAATATTCAAGTACTAAAGTAAAAGTATTCTTAGTACCCAGTGTACTTGGAGTTTTAGCAAAATAATGCAGTTTCTCTTGTGTATCTCTCCCACAGTCGACACAGCGTTTCAACATGGGTTTAAAATGAATAAATAAACAGTGTATTGGCTTATTATCAATATGAAATACCAGAATAAAAAGAGAAAAATGAGCACACATCAAACAAGTACTAAAATGTGATCAAAAATAGATATTAGAATTATAAGATAACATTTGGAGCAATAATTGCACTTGGGTCATGGATAAGTAACCTGTGGAGAATACACTGCAGTTTTTATTACTAACTATTTACAGATGGTTGGTAATAATAAACAGTAATAATAGCAGTAGGTAAAGTGGAAAGTGAATTATCAGAACAGAATATGTCATAACAAAAGCAGGTAAAGGGACAAGTGAAGTGACTGGTGAATGGCACATGTTCAACAGTTCTCATCGTACAGTCTGACAGCAGCAGACTGTACCATGATTGACCAATACACAAACAGGTCTTTTTTGTCTTTTTCGGCAAAACGAACACATCCTCACCTGTGTACAGCTCTACGGCGTCGCTGGCGTGGCTGCTGCACTGGTCGTCTGAGGCCACGACGGTGAAGGTGTAGTTCATGTCGCAGGCCAGCTGGGTGAAGGAGCACCATGTGACGCTGCTGTTGCACACCTCGATGAAGCCGCCCGCGCTCTGGGCCACCGTCCTGTAGCTGAGTGCCCCCTTGGTGGTCTGCCATGTCACCTGCACGTCTCGTGTCTCGCAGTCTAACTCGGCGCGCACATTCTGAGGCACGCACGGAACTGTAGGACACACCGGGAGGTTAGAATAAAAGATGTTTATTTTCATGTTTTCAATTTTCAACAGTTGATATTTATTTTGATATGAACACACTGGAACTCATGCTTCTGGAACCAAAGTGGACAGTGAAGTGAGCATGTTGGGAAGGAGCATCGATCTAAAATAAAAACTGGATAGGGTATTACTAGCTCATAGCTCTACTACTAGCTCTTTGTGCTAACAAACGACTAAAACTATAGATTCAATGTTATAATAATAATAATAATAATAATCTTTATTTATATACCGCCTTTTTCACTGCAGATCTGAGTCTCAAAGCGGTTTACAATTGTTAATTGTGGGCATTTGTCTCTGGCCCCTCCACACAGAGATGGGAGGGGCCAGTACAGGAGGCGCATGCCAGACATGCCTATTGGACATATTTTTAGTGGTAGGGGAAACCCGGAGGAAACCTACGCAGACACAGGGAGAACATGCAAACTCCACTCAGAAAGGCCCTGGTCCGACCGGGATTCGAACCCAGGACCTTCTTGCTGAGAGGCGAGAGTGCTATCCACTCAGCCACCGTGCCGTGTTGAGGCTAGAATACTTGAAAGATCAGGCTGTAGTACGTGAATGACAGGGCTGGAGTACCTGAGAGCTGCTGAAGGACGGGGCTGGAGTACCTGAGAGCTGCTGGATGACGGGGCTGGAGTACCTGAGAGCTGCTGAATGATGGGGCTGGAGTACCTGAGAGCTGCTGAATGACGGAGCTGGAGTACCTGAGAGCTGCTGAATGACAGGGCTGGAGTACCTGAGAGCTGCTGGATGACGGGGCTGGAGTACCTGAGAGCTGCTGGATGACGGGGCTGGAGTACCTGAGAGCTGCTGAATGATGGGGCTGGAGTACCTGAGAGCTGCTGGATGACGGGGCTGGAGTACCTGAGAGCTGCTGGATGACGGGGCTGGAGTACCTGAGAGCTGCTGGATGACGGGGCTGGAGTACTGAGAGCTGCTGGATGACGGGGCTGGAGTACCTGAGAGCTGCTGAATGATGGGGCTGGAGTACCTGAGAGCTGCTGGATGACGGGGCTGGAGTACCTGAGAGCTGCTGGATGACGGAGCTGGAGTACCTGAGAGCTGCTGGATGACGGGGCTGGAGTACCTGAGAGCTGCTGGATGACGGGGCTGGAGTACCTGAGAGCTGCTGGATGACGGGGCTGGAGTACCTGAGAGCTGCTGGATGACGGGGCTGGAGTACCTGAGAGCTGCTGGATGACGGGGCTGGAGTACCTGAGAGCTGCTGGATGACGGGGCTGGAGTACCTGAGAGCTGCTGGATGACGGGGCTGGAGTACCTGAGAGCTGCTGGATGACGGGGCTGGAGTACCTGAGAGCTGCTGGATGACGGGGCTGGAGTACCTGAGAGCTGCTGGATGACGGGGCTGGAGTACCTGAGAGCTGCTGGATGACGGGGCTGGAGTACCTGAGAGCTGCTGGATGACGGGGCTGGAGTACCTGAGAGCTGCTGGATGACGGGGCTGGAGTACCTGAGAGCTGCTGGATGACGGGGCTGGAGTACCTGAGAGCTGCTGGATGACGGGGCTGGAGTACCTGAGAGCTGCTGGATGACGGGGCTGGACACATTGCAGACAGGGTTGTAGGCCGTGAGGCTGATGTTGTAGGTGAAGCCGCAGCGGAGCTCATCCAGGACACAAGAGTCAGAGGTGGAGGTGCAGCTGGCTGTATCTTCCTCCACCCCCAGTGCCTCCACCTGGTAGAAGTCCACGTCTGTACTCTGCTGCCACCCCACACTGATGGTGTTCGAGAGGCAGTTCAGAGAGCAGCTCAGGCCCTGGGAAGGGCAAGGGGCTGTGGATACACACAGTCAGACATGTCAAACTCATGCCCATTATTAGTGGCCCCTGAAATGATTTTCAATTATCATTATTACGGTTACAGCATTGGTGGTAACGAGCTCCAATGGCATGTTATACTCAAACAAAATATATGTGTCTAAATACCAAATAATAACGATAATACAAGTAATTATTTATAAATTATATTGAACAAATGATAGCCTAAATGTCCTGTTTTAATGTTTTTACTTCTTTTTAAATGCCCGGCATTGCTTTGAAGCAGGGAAAGTTGCCTTGATGAAGAGCAGAGTGGTCGAAATGACACTATGTCCCTTGAAGATTAATAGTTTTTTTCTTTTGACCATAAATGTGTATAACTATTGTGGGAATGTAAGTTTTGAAGTTGCTGCTTATATTAAATGGAAGCAAATCAGGGCAGTTAAATATGGTTTGACTGGAAGGAGGGCGCTCCACGCAGACTCAAAAACATCTGGGTAGTTGGGAGCAGGGCTTGTTGAGAGGATGATACTGTCGACTCTTGTTTGTAATGCCCTGGACTATAAAGCGCTTACATACAGTATATAACAATTGTAAAAAATAACAACAAATTTGGCAAAGTTGAATGTGCCTTTAAAAATGACTGGTAATAGTAACTGGTGTCAATGAATAAATAAAAGAAATGCATATCTGATGTGTATCTATATTCAGTATAACAGTTTTATATTGTAGTAGTATATGGTCGAATAATTTGTAATACTGTAAAAGAAACAAAAGTAAGAAACAGCAAGAAGTTAGTTGTAAAAAGAAACATAAGTTTTCATAGCCACCACCACATCAACAACAGGTGTAAGTCTTGGCAGTGTTGCTGACCTGAGTAGGCCTGCACCCCGTCACTGGGAGGGCTGCTGCACAGGCGGTTGGTGGCCGCCACACTCACGTTGTAGAGCTGGCCACACTTCAGGCTGCTCAGCTCACAGTTTGTTGGATAAGAAGAACTGCAGCTGGACACGTCACCATTGGCCGACAGCGCAGTGACTGTGTAATTCTCTGCGCCCTCGGAGAATAGCCAATCAGCGAGGAACGTGTCAGTGCCGCAATCTATTGCCACAGAACCCATGTCCGGAGTGCAAGGAACTGACAAAAGACAAAACACACACAGATGAATGAGAAAGTGGATGAACATATGGCTCAAAGTCTGGTCACGGAACAGGGCATCCCACTGGTCATTTTGGTCAGCCTTATCAACATATTACCATTCATTTTGGGTTTTGTGTTTGACACATGTGCTCTAAATCAACGTTTATATCATGTAGATGTATGTAGCTGGGGCGGGAGTTTCCACTCAGGTCTGTTTAGCTGCTCTTTATAAAGTGACTTTACTGCCCATCATACGTCACTTTACTTCACTGTACTGCTGTCACCTTACACTGTGTGCACCATGTGCATTTGTATATTGTAAATAGTAACTGTAACTCTATTTTAATTTTTATTTAAAATGTATTCCTTAGAAGTGTTTTTTATTATCTCTTTCTGACTGTTGCACTGAGCCAAAGCAATTTCCAAGTCTGTGACTTACTGTTACTTATGTGGCAATAAAAGAGATTCTGATTCTGATTTAGGGGTAAAGAGGAAAATGTACATCTATGTCAAACAACTGAATCTTGTAGGAACCTGAATAAAATAAATACAGGAAATACTTTTTTATTGAATGAAAATGAAAGAGGACATAACGTTCTTCTGTCTCTATTTGTCAAATCTTGTTTCATCATATACAGTTGTACATTTAAGTGTTTACATCCAGGCAGACATTTGTGAACTATGAATAACACAAACACTTTTTTCACTCATTGTTGTGTGTGGTTGTGACAGGCCATTTCCTGTCAAATAACCATGTTATCTTTTTTGGACTGGTTGGGCGAACTCCCATGAACCCTCGAGTATCCGATGGAGAGTATAGAGCTGGTCCAGTGTTCCGCGACCGGGACCAAAACCACACTGCCCCTCCTGAATCCGAGATTCGACCATCGGCCGTAGCCTCCTCTCTAGTACCTTGGAGTAGACCTTACCGGGGAGGCTGAGGAGTGGGATCCCACGATAATTGGAACACACCCTCCGGCCCCCCTTCTTGTAGAGAGGGACCACCACCCCGGTCTGCCACTCCATTGGCACCGCCCCCGATCGCCACGCGATGTTGCAGAGACGTGTCAGCCAAGACAGTCCTACAACATCCAGAGACTTTAGAGTCAGGACGGATCTCATCCACCCCCGGAGCCTTGCCACCATGGAGGCTGCCAACCACCTTGGTGACCTCTGCCAGGGAGATGGAAGTATCCGCCCCAACATCCTCATCCTCTGCCTCTGGGACGGAGGACGTGACGGGGGGATTGAGGAGAACCTCGAAGTATTCCTTCCACCGCCCGATAATATCCCCAGTCGAGGTCAGCAGCTCACCCCCCGCACCGTACATGGTGTTGGCAAAGAACTGCTTCCCCCTCCTGAGGCGCCGGACGGTTTGCCAGAATCTCTTCGGAGGCCGACCGATAGTCATGCTCCATGGACTCTCCGAACTCCTCCCAGTCCCGGGTTTTTGCCTCTGCAACAGCCCGGGCCGCGGAACGTGGGGGTTGCCGCCGGGACCAGCACCAGAGACCCTGCAACCCCACCTACGAGCTTCCGCCTCAGCAATAGAGGTGGAGAACATGGTCCTGGGAGAAGCTCTCCCGGAGGTGTGAGTTTAAAGTCCGCTTGACAGGGGGCTCAGCGAGACGTTCCCAGCAGACCCTCACTACCCGCTTGGGTCTGCCAGGTCTGACCGGCTTCTTCCCCTGCCAGCGGATCCAACTCACGACCAGGTGATGATCAGTGACAGCTCCGCCCCCTCGCCCCTATCTTTTTTCAATGTACAAATAAAAAATTTAAAAAAGGTGTAGAGAAACAAAAGATAACTGGAACGGGCTGACACTGTTTGTGACGTCACCGGGGATGGAGCTAATAACTACTGCTACGACAAAGTCCAAAAGCTGGAGTGTAAAGAGAGAGTGTGTGATGTAGCAGTGGGAGCTCACCTGAGGGGAAGGACGTGGCCGGGCTGGGCAGACTGGCACAGATCTCGTCCCGGGCCACGACCTGCACACTGTACTGCTGACCACACTGCAGGTCGGCCAGGGTGCAGGACAGCCCAGCGGTCTCACAGCTGGACACGGAGCCGTTGGAGCCCTGGGCCATCACCGTGTACCTCAGTGCACCCTCGCTGGCGGACCATGACACCAGGGCGCTGTTGTCGCCGCAGTCCATCATCACCTGGACGTCGGTGGGGACGCACGGAGCTGCAGAGAGCGAGGAACGCATTGTAAGTAAGTAATGTTTATTTATATAGCACATTTACAGACTAAGGTACAGACCCAAAGGCACAGACCCAAAGCACTTTCCAATGTTCAGAGTCAGATATTGTTCCAATCCTTCCACACACGGTGATGACAGAAGCGAGTCCAGGACACACTGGACCATCAAAACCTCTGACCCAACACCATCATTCACTCTCTCATTTACATTCAGACCTATTGTGCATGTTTTTATTTCATTGTTACAGAAAAAGATTCTGTGCACAATGTATTTTTATATTTATATTTTTTACTTGGGTACTTTTAAACTTCAATTACCTCAAAGCTACTTTAGTTATAAAATGCCACAATGATGCATTTAACAAAAATATTTAAAGAAGAGGGAGCATGAATATATCTTCGTATATGTGGAAATTAGCTCAGATTGTTATGTATCACAAAGAAAATAGGTCATCTTTTATCACTGCAAAGAGTTCGTCCGTATAAATATTAAGCCAAATAATATGTTTATCCATCCATTAGTTATTGAACAATAAATTGATTATATTATAATAAAAAGATAAAGTATTGTCCCTCTAGTGACTGGTATGGAAGCAACAGCCTAACTGTGTGATCCTGTGTAAAAGAGTGAATCTTGTTTTCATGTGGTCACCATTTAAGCTACAGTTTAAAATGTAACTTATTTGTGAACAAACATATTTAGAGAAGGGAAACCTGAAAACATGTTTTCTTTGTGTTTGTGTGTTGGCTAAACTTTATCTACATCAGTATGTTAACCTTTTACAATATGGGAGTTACTTTGAGGACATTTTTATGTATAGATTATTTATTTTAGGTGTCTTTAGGTCTCAAGTATTGTGAACACATATTTAGATGAAGTACTATGTGATATATCATGTCACAAAAGCACTGATGAAGTTCAAATCCTTCATTGGGTCGTGATTCCCATCAAATAAAATAGGGGGAAACTGAATAGTTAGCAGACGGGAAAAGATCCAAGGGCCACATGGAAACGTGAATTATGTGAAGCCTTTACACTTCATACAGATACTTTATTGACACTCCAGAGGAGAAATGAAGGAATAATGATCATAATAACGTGAGTTTGTGTGGTGCAGGAGTGAAGCCCCCGTGACTCTCACTTGACTTGAGCTGGCCCTCTTGGCTGGGCTCTGAATTGCAGGCTTTGTTGGAGGCCACCACACTAACGCTGTAGTTGTGTCCACAGCGGAGGTTGGGGATGCCGCACTGCTCCTCCCCGTCAGACCAACAAGTGTGGGACGTGCCCTCTTCAGACGTCACTGTGGCAGTGTAGTAGTCGGCCCCCGCAGAGCTGTTCCAGGACACAACTGCGATGTTGGCCACACAGTTCATGAAGCTGCTCACGCCCATGGGAGGACAGGGCTCTGCAGAGAACACAGCACGTGGTTATGGCATACTGTGTTATTTTTGCAATACCAGATTTTCAATTTATGAAGTGCAATTATTCATCATCCATCCATGTTCTTAATCCATTTCTGGGTCGCGGGGTGGCAGTCAGAGCTGCACCCAGTTCACAGAGCACCAGCCCCTCACTGATCCTCCTGCAGGTGCTGAGTCCACAGGAGCTGAGATCTTTCAGTGGGGGCTTCAGGCAAAGGGGCAAAGTGTCCTTGGGCAAGTGTCTTGCCCAAGGACACAACGACAGCAGACATCAGTGGGAGCCGTAAGGTAGGTCTCGTGGTGGGCTCGAACCCACAACCTTCAGGCTCAGAGGCCGATGCTCTACCAACTGAGCCACTTATCAATAAAAAAACATTGTGTACCCAGATAACAGGTCAACTCTTCAAACCAGTCTCTCATTTCTCTCATCTGTTTGTTTGGTGAAATAAATTCTTTTTCTTTATTGATAATAAGATTGCCAAACCAAATAGCACCACACATTTGTTTAAAGGCGAACAGTGTCACATGTGTGCAAGTCCTATGTAATACACAGAGTTTTAACTGTTTCTAGCTAAACCCCAGCATGTGGACTGCATCAGTTATCAGAGCTTAGAGGCTACATGTGTCACAGACAGGAAGACTCAAAAGTGTGGCTGTAATTGTACCTTACATGGCCCCTTCAATGATCTTTTCTCTATTGTTATTATCAGTGTGCATGAGTCCTCACCTGACTGCAGCTTGGAGGTGGGGCTGTGCTTGCTGGTGCAGTGATCATCCACAGACTGCACAGACAGAAAGTACTCCTCCCCACAGGAGAACTCGGAGAAGAATGCCCACGTGTCGTTGGTGCTGACCTGCATCCTGTGCCCACTGTTGCTCTCTGCGGTCGCAATGTAGTAATCTGCTGTGGTGACGGCATCCCAAGACAGCTCGCCCACCTGACACATGACACAGGATAACAGCATGGATCTATAATTGTAACTGGATAGAGTATTACTAGATTAAAGCTGTCCCACCCACGGGCACAGGGGGCGCTGTGGTACTGCAGACTCAATTCACGAGGGCTACCCAGAAAAAAATCCCATAGAACTCAATGTTAACAGAGAACCTGACAGAGAACCTGACAGGGAACCTACAGAGAACCTGACAGAGAACCTGACAGAGAACCTGACAGGGAACCTACAGAGAACCTGACAGAGAACCTGACAGAGAACCTACAGAGAACCTGACAGAGAACCTACAGAGAACCTGACAGAGAACCTACAGCTTTCTCAAAGGTCGTATTTAGTGGAGATGTTAGTATCTTTTTTCATCCTGAACTTTTTTTCTTCTTCCACATCCACACTTTACTGCCCCTCTGTGCACATGCATGAGAGCCACACACGTGTATTTGGCGAAACGCTTCATGGGAGCTCGACCACTGCACAGAACTGGGAGGACCAGACGATGCCCAAATATGGGCGAGTTCTGCTAATCTCCCGGTCCCCGTCCCATGAACTACTGAGCACAAGCCATTCATTTGAACAGGGCGCCATCTTGGATCACCGGGGGGGTTGGATTACAGCAGCACAGGTTTCACACAATTTTCCCACTGACCAAAATGACCAAAAATCTATCTCAGGGCTGTCAATTGTTAACCTTGCCTACAAGCTGAATTCTCGCGGTATTTGTGAGTTCACAAACACTCGAGAATACATCTTGTCCCGCTCCCGCCAACCCTTTTCGAGTAGAACATCTGGGTGTTCAAGCCAATCACGCGCCAGTCTGGGGGTTTAGGGCGGGATATCCGGGTTTGACAAAAGCAAGAAGTGCCGGGCCGAAGCAAAACAAACATGGCTACGCAGGAGGACGGACGCGTAGCTGAGCCTCAGCTAGTCAAGTCAGTTTTAGCAGAATCTCCAATTTCCTTTTTTGAAAGATGAACAGCGAGAGGCGCTTTGTGCATTTCTGGACGGCAAAGATGTTACCGGGATTGGTTTAAGTCAAACCTTGGTAGGCGGGCACACAGCGTCACTTCGCCCAATCAGCTTGAAGTATTCTGCTGCTCATCCCTCCTTTCCCCGAAAGGATTCTCCTGCAGAAGTCCCAGATTGATATTGTGGAGAACGCATTAAGTTCTACACAATCATCAATCTGCCTCTTGCCAGGTTAGGAAATTGTGCGGCCCGCCAAGAGATTTGATACGGCCCGCGGCTCAATTGTGTAACATGATAATAAAGCTTTTTATGATAATAAAGCAACACATACTGCTGTTATATAAAGTCACCTCCGTGAACACATACTGCTGTTATATAAAGTCACCTCCGTGAACACATACTGCTGTTATATAAAGTCACCTCCTTGAACACATACTGCTGTTATATAAAGTCACCTCCGTGAACACATACTGCTGTTATATAAAGTCACCTCCGTGAACACATACTGCTGTTATATAAAGTCACCTCCGTGAACACATACTGCTGTTATATAAAGTCACCTCCGTGAACACATACTGCTGTTATATAAAGTCACCTCCGTGAACACATACTGCTGTTATATAAAGTCACTGTGAACACATACTACTGTTATATAAAGTCTGTGAAGGTCTCAGACACAGAGACGCTGCAGAGCTGCATTATTGGAGAAGAACTTTACACAAAAAGCCGCTAGCAAAGACCCGCCCTCTACTTCCGCCTCTTCCGACGGGCGCCACCGCAGCAGGACTTCTGGTCTGAACACCCCTGCGTCTGAAATTTAGAGAATGTGCGTCTGGTGCGTGCGGCGTCAGCGTTTCAGCGTCGGCGTCTGAAAACACCTTAGACTCTTTCTTTTCATTCCAATCACACTTCAACTCATCTGTTTCGTCTTACTCCACCTCGTTCATTAGAAAGCTACAATAGATAGATATTTTACTGATCCCTGTAGGAGGAATTCAGTTGTCCAGCAGCAGAAGCACATCCATCTATACAAACAAATAAACACTTTCTTTTAAAAGTGACCAACAATAGAAATAAAACCACATTATCCACGGTATATATTTTAAAATATTGCTGTTCTTTTGCATGCAGTTTATTGTACTGTTTTTTTCTGTAAGGTGACCTTGAGACGACTTGAGACGCCTAAAGATACATTTATTATTATCATTATTTTTTATTATGAATTGAAAACAAGCAGGTAAAAATGATCTTTTTTTAGAAGGAGGGAACAGTTCTGTCCAAGATTATACGGTCTGAGGAGTTGCCCTTTTGTAACAGGTTTGTAAAAGAAACAGGAGGTACAAAAAGGGGAAGAAGCAAAAACAATTCCTTATGTGTTTAAACACATCCAAACCTCACCTTCAAGGAGCAGTTGAAAGTTGACACCAAATTCTGAGGAATACAAGAAGCTGAAAAAAGAAAAGAGGACTTTATATTAATGGACACGACTTCATGCTACTGACAAAATGACAGTACAGAAGTAAAATCACAGAAATCATTCTGTAACCGTCTTTCTCAATACAATATATGTGTGTGTGTGTGTGTGTGTGTGTGTGTGCTTGCATGCTTTTGGGTTAAAACTGCTCTTTTTGTCATTTCCTATGTTGACCTAAACCAGTGGTCGTAAACATGAGGCCTGTGGGCCCTTTGCAGCCTGAGAAAAGATATTTTGTGTAAGTGGACATCGAACTTTAATGTCAGTTAGCCCCGCACTGAGAGTCTGGGCTGGTATGGCATGTTATACCTAAATACACTTGTTGCGTGTCTTTTGTAGCGTCAGGAGACAGACCTGTTCTGATGGTTGTCTCGTTGCTCTCGGCGCTGTCGCATTCCCCGTTGTGGGCTGTGACGTAGACGGTGTAGAAATCCCCGCAGCTCAGGTCGTCCCACTGGCACCAGGTCTCGTTGGTAGTGCAGACCTCGGAGGAGCCGTTCAGCCCTACGGCAAAGGCGATGTAGTACTCGGCGCCATCAGCAGGGCCCCAGCTCACGCCACCAATGGAGTCTTCACAGGCAATGTAGCTCTGCACAGCCACCGGCATGCATGGGCCTGGACCAAAAATGTTGTGCATCACATTCCAGATACTTCTTGCAAAACATTCCATTTTCTCTTCTGCTTCATCCGTTGCCTGGTCGCGGGGGCAGCAGTCTAAGCAGAGACGCCCAGACTTCCCTATCTACACACTGCCGCATCAGCGATAGAGGAAGAGAACATGGTCCACTCAGACTCGATGTCCCCCTCCTCCGCTGGGACCTGGGAGAAGCTCTCCCGGAGGTGTGAGTTGAAAGTCCGTCTGACAGGGGTCTCAGCGAGACGTTCCCAGCAGACCCTCACTACACGCTTGGGTCTGCCAGGTCTGACCGGCTTCTTCCCCTGCAGCGGATCCAACTCACGACCAGGTGATGATCAGTGACAGCTTCGTCCCTCTCTTTAGCTCCGCCCCTCTCTTCACCCGAGTGTCCGAGACACGCGGCCGAAGGTCAGATGATACGACAACAAAGTGCCCCCTGATGGACACTCTTGTGCTGGAACATGGTGTTGGTGATGGACAAACTGTGACTAGCAGAAGTCCAACAACTGAACACCGCTCGGGTTCAGATCAGGGCTGTTCTTCCCCTTCACCCCTCTCACTTCTTGAAATACAATCAATCAAGATGTTTATTTAAAAACCTGTACAACCCTTGGTTATATATAGCACTTTCCAGGTCACTCAGGGATGGTTCACGTAGTTTGAATAGGTTGGATGAAGATAATACATATAAACATTTCAAACCTCAAAATCACCAACCGAACTAAAGATGAATACTTAGCTACTTGTAAGAAAGAGCCCTCCAAGTCACTATATGACTCTTTGGGCTAAGAGCTGCTGGGCTCTAAATTGAACATTTCTGTCTGGAAAAAGCCCATAGATGTGACCTGTGAAAACTAGTGAAGAGAAGCAATGACACCGATTTTATTAGGACTTCCGGCGCCAGCTCCCGCTGTGCAGCTCGTGACGAGCTGGCTCTCTTCTCTTTCCGACCCTTTCTCTATTTATTTCTTGTAGATGTGCTTTTTTATTTTTATTTTTCGTAGGCAAGCATTTATTTGTGCATTGTGCACACGGGAAGCCTAGCCTCGTGGACTTTCTCACTGGATTAACATGTCTTCGGCACTTTTTTCGGAGTCTACGTGAATGAGCAGTGGTGCATCCCGACGCACGTGCATGTGGTTCAGCGCACATGCACCCAGGACCTGGAGCTGCTCGCTGTGAGCATGAGACCCAGGTATCTGCCGCGGGAGTTTTCACACACCGTGGTTCTATGTGTTTACATTCCCCCGTCAGCAGACGCAGCTGCAGCATGTGAGGAGATCCACAGAACTGTGACCCAGATCCAGACCCGCAGTCCCCGCGCTCTGATTCTGATCAGCGGAGACTTTAACCACGCCTCCCTCTCCGCCACTCTCCCGACATTCAAACAGTATGTCACGTGCCCAACTCGTGGCAATAAGACTCTGGACCTACTGTATGTTAATGTCCAGGACGCATACGCCTCCTCCCCCCTCCCCCCTCTCGGACGCTCTGATCACAGCCTGGTCCGTCTGTCTCCGGAATACACACCAGTGGTGAGAAGAAATCCAGCGCAGAAGAGGATTGTAAAAGTGTTGAGCGATGATGTGGATGAGATGCTGAAAGATTGTTTTCAAAACACTGATTGGGAAATGATCTGCAGCTCTCATGGTGAGGACATGGAGAGCCTGACACACTGCATTACAGACTATATTCTCTTCTGTGTGGATAACACTGTACCAACTAAGAAGGTGCGGTGTTTTTCTAACAACCACCCATGGGTGACCCCTGAGCTTAAAGTCCTCCTGAACCTCAAGAAAAGGGCTTTCATCTCAGGGGACAGGGAGGAGCAGAAGAGGATCCAGCACGAGCTCCAGTGGAGGATCAGGAGGGCCAAGAAGGACTATGGGAAAAAGCTGGAGCAGAAGCTGGCCCAGGGAAACGTCCGCGACGTGTGGAGAGGCCTAAAGAACATCTCCGGCTTTGGACAGAGTGCCAGAGGAACAGCAGATGGAGACCAGCACCGGGCGGATGAATTTAACCAGTACTTCAACCGGTTTGATTCTCCCCCCTCTCCATCTAAGTCGCCTCTTCCTTCTAAGGAGGCTGAGGTCCTTCTGAGGAGGCTGAGGTCCTTCTGAGGAGGCTGAGGTCCTTCTGAGGAGGCTGAGGTCCTTCTGAGGAGAGTGAGGTCCTTCTGAAGAGGCTGAGGTCCTTCTGAGGAGGCTGAGGTCCTTCGGATGAGGCTGAGGTCCTTCTGAGGAGGCTGAGGTCCTTCTGAGGAGGCTGAGGTCCTTCGGAGTGAGCAGGCCTCTGCTCAGGACTTTTTATGACTCTGTGGTAGCTTCTGCCATTTACTACGCTGCCGTGTGCTGGGCCCCGGGCAGCACAGAGCGGGACAGAAACAGACTGAACAAGCTGGTCAGGAGGAGGTGAGGGACAGGAGGCCCCTGGACTCTGTGGAGGAGGTGAGGGACAGGAGGCCCCTGGACTCTGTGGGGGAGGTGAGGGACAGGAGGCCCCTGGACTCTGTGGGGGAGGTGAGGGACAGGAGGCCCCTGGACTCTGTGGAGGAGGTGAGTGACAGGAGGCCCCTGGACTCTGTGGAGGAGGTGAGGGACAGGAGGCCCCTGGACTCTGTGGAGGAGGTGAGGGACAGGAGGCCCCTGGACTCTGTGGAGGAGGTGAGGGACAGGAGGCCCCTGGACTCTGTGGAGGAGGTGAGGGACATGAGGTCCCTGGACTCTGTGGAGGAGGTGAGGGACAGGAGGCCCCTGGACTCTGTGGAGGAGGTGAGGGACAGGAGGCCCCTGGACTCTGTGGAGGAGGTGAGGAACAGGAGGCCCCTGGACTCTGTGGAGGAGGTGAGGGACAGGAGGCCCCTGGACTCTGTGGAGGAGGTGAGGGACAGGAGGCCCCGGGACTCTGTGGAGGAGGTGAAGGACAGGAGGCCCCTGGACTCTGTGGAGGAGGTGAGGGACAGGAGGCCCCTGGACTCTGTGGAGGAGCTGAGGAGCTCCTTCAGTGGAAGACTGAGGCACCCTCAGTGTAGGAAGGAGCAGGGCCTTTATCCCCACCGCTGTCAGACTGTACAATAAGTCACTTTAAATGATCACTGTGTGAAAACCTGCACTACTATTGACACTGTTTCCAATTGACACTTGTCACTTTTGTTGCACATAATTATTGTCACTTTATTGTACATATATCCTGCATGTAACATGTTTGCACATTTCCTCCCTTTGCACAATCTGAGTGTTCTATCCATGCCAAATGTGACATGTACATTTCTCCTCTGTAAGTAAGTAAGTAAGTAAGTTTTTATTTATATACCGCCTTTTCACTGCAGATCTGAGTCTCAAAGCGGTTTACAATTGTTAACTAGAAACTTGCAATGGCTGAAGCCATTGCGATTGACTGCGGAACAGATCTAATGTGGAAATCTGCTAAAAAAAATCCTTGAAATCCTTTAAAAGGCCTTGAAACTGTTAAAATACTTGATAGATATTTGAAACTCCTGAAGTCCTTGAAATTGTTGAAACCTTTAAACTCCTGAAATCCTTGAAACTGTTGAAACATTGAAACTCCTGAAATCCTTGAAACTTTTTTAAACCTGGAAACTGTTGAAAGTGTGGAAACTCCTGAAATCCTTGAACCTCCTGATATCCTTGAAACTGGTTAAATTCTTAAACAGTTGAAATCCTTGAAACTACTGAATGTATTGAAAGTGTCCTTGAAACTGAAAAATCCCCTCACCGCTGAAACAATTTGGTTCCTGTAACTAAGGAAACCTGGTCTGTGGTCATTATCTGGTGGTGGTCTGAGTCTTCGTTTGGGTCTTGGTCTGGTGGTATAATGCAACCTATTAGGTTGCATTATACTGGTTTACATGGAAAAATCCCTATTAGGTTGCATTATACTGGTTTACATGTACAAATCCCTATTAAGTTCCATTATACTTGTTTACATGTAAAAACCCCTATTAAGTTCCATTATACTGGTTTACATGTAAAAACCCTATTAAGTTGCATTATACTGGTTTACATGAAAAAACCCTATTAAGTTGCATTATACTGGTTTACATGGAAAAATCCCTATTAAGTTGCATAATACTGGTTTACATGGAAAAATCCCCATTAAGTTGCATTATACTGGTTTACATGAAAAAAAACCCTATTAAGTTGCATTATACTGGTTTACATGAAAAAACCCTATTAAGTTGCATTATACTGGTTTACATGGAAAAATCCCTATTAAGTTGCATTATACTGGTTTACATGGAAAAATCCCTATTAGGTTGCATTATACTGGTTTACATGGAAAAATCCCTATTAAGTTGCATTGTACTGGTTTACATGGAAAAAACCCTATTAAGTTGCATTATACTGGTTTACATGGAAAAAACCCTATTAAGTTGCATTATACTGGTTTACATGGAAAAAACCCTATTAAGTTGCATTATACTGGTTTACATGTAAAAACCCCTATTAAGTTGCATTATACTGGTTTACATGGAAAAATCCCCATTAAGTTGCATTATACTGGTTTACATGAAAAAAAACCCTATTAAGTTGCATTATACTGGTTTACATGAAAAAACCCTATTAAGTTGCATTATACTGGTTTACATGGAAAAATCCCTATTAAGTTGCATTATACTGGTTTACATGGAAAAATCCCTATTAAGTTGCATTATACTGGTTTACATGGAAAAATCCCTATTAGGTTGCATGATTACACTGAAGTCCTTGAAACTGCTGAAGTCCTTGAAACTGCTGAAGTCCTTGAAACTGCTGAAGTCCTTGAAACTGCTGAAGTCCTTGAAACTGCTGAAGTCCTTGAAACTGTTGAAGTCCTTGAAACTCTTGAAATCTTGAAACTGCTGAAATCCTTGAAACTGTTGAATCCTTGAAACTGTTGAATCATTGAAACTGTAGAAATGTCTGAAAGAGCTGAAGTCCTATTAAAATGCATGGGCCTATTAAAATGCATTGCAGAA